TGGGGTAATTGGTTATTCCTATACTTGTGTTGATAATGGGGTAGTAGTAGTGATACATCGGTGAAGTTTAGGGGGGACCCTAGGAATAATTATCTAATGGGTTGACGGTGGCATTATTAGCCTAAATAGGCAAGGTATACCCTAACTGATGTCAGTAAAAAACCTGTTGAGAGTGGAAGGCAAGAGCCAGAATCCTTCATGGACAGAGCAGCAAGCGCCAGGTTTAATGGCAGCGCAGCCATCATGGAAGCCAGCTTCAGCACCTTGGCGCAAAAAATGGGCGTGCTGTCCGTTAGCGGCATGATGGAAACGCACTCCTTACACAAAGCTGATGTTGCGGCATACACTTGCTCCATTCGCTCCAGAACATCTTGTCTCGATCGACCTGTCTCCAACCCCATTGTTTGCCTGAATTGAGTTCATAACCCCACTACACAAGAAGCTGCTTCCAGGTGCTGGAGAGTCTACAGATCCCAGGCGCGGTGCCTGCCCAACGAGAAGAGCTGGATTGCAACAGTGGTGGATTTTGGAGTAGTCTTATGGTTCAGGACGAGTAACTCCGCTTTGTGCAAGTACTATAGCAGTGTGTCTTATGAGGACTTACGGTCCTGGCAGACCCAAAAAAAGCAAGAAAAGCCTGACATCTGCTGGCCATTTGAACCCTTCCCAGGACATTCCGGGCCCAAAGGCTAATTCTTAACGATGAGGATGCTCCCCGATCAGACCCTCCCGCCAAAGAAACCGAGCAAACAAGCTCCATGGAGCGCATCGGAGGGGAGTAATGTGGGTGGGTTGGCCTCAAACTGTGCAGATCCTGCTCGTAGCAGGAATGATAACCCCAAGCTCCACCGCAGGTTAGCCCGCCTCGAGATCGAGCTAGTCAAGTGCAGAAGGGAAATCGAGACTTACCTGAGCGAGAAGGCGTGCTTGGAGGACCCGGTGCAAGCATTGGGGTGCATTTTGCGCGACCAGTCAGGAAGATGGCTTGGTATTGTGACTGCACTGTGTGACTATGCCATTACGCTTTTGGCTCAAGACGCAAGAGCCTACGCAATGCGGCGGCGTCAACTTGTGCGGTCCCCGGACGCACACAAGTCCGTCTCATTCTGCCGTGCTCCATGTGAAAAGTGGCTGCATTGGGTCAAGCTAAGGATAGTTCAGTTTCACCGGCAGGCTGCGCCCTATGCCGGCCAGGCTTCCAGAAGCCGTTAATTCACACCAGAGCTGATCCAGCACAGCGCGACAAGTCTGGCCGAACTGCTCTGCTCGAAGCAGTTGCCAAGGCCGGCGCTGAGACCGACAGTCTGTCTGCCAGGAAAGCACAGCACTTTAAGCACTATTTGGTGAGTCTTCAGGAAGGCAGATGCTTGAATGCCGTTGACCATGCTCGGATTGCAGACTATCTGCACGAGATACAGATGGCTCGATTCCAGCTCCATCATCGCCAGCAGTTCTGTCTTTCCAAAGGACTCGGCCCTGCTGACTGTAAGATGCCTGGGAATACCAACACGGTCACTGCAAAGCC